GCAGCAGCAGCACCCGTAGGTGCAGCTACTGCGTGCAGCCACAGCACAAGTGCTGGTGGTGAGGGGATGCTAGGCTGTCTTCGTGAGTGTGAGTCTGTGGCTGGTGAATCTAAGGAAAAGAGAAAAGAAGTAAAGAGGAAGGGGCTGGGGTGTACGTACACCCCAGGCACAGCGTTGTGGGTGCGGCGGTGGCTGCTGCGGGGGGCCTCCTCGGGGGGCTGTGCGTTTGTATCTCCGCAGTGTACAGACACCCGAGTGACAGCAGACGACGTGCGTCTGGCTTTGCTGCTGCTGCTGCGCATGCACTGGGTGATGCTGCCGCGCTGCAGCAGCAGCAAGCAGCAGCAAACGCTAGCTATCCCAGCACCACCTGGGGTGTATAGGCAGCTGCAGGGGATCCCGCAAGGCTCCAACCTATCGGGGCTCCTCTGCGCTCTCTTCTACGGCCACAGAGACAAACACCCCCGCGTGCAGCGCCTGCTGCGGGGCCTGCTGCAGCCCCCGAGGCCCCTAGTGTATCGCAGCAGCAACAACACTGCAGCTGCTGCTGCAGCAAGCCCGCCCCATAGACAAATACACCAGCAGCAGCAAGAACAGCAACAGAGGAAACAACAACAGCAGCAACAACCACAGCACCAACAACAGCAGCAACAGCAAAAGCAGCAACAACAGGAGCAACAGCAACAGCAACACCAACAGCAGCCACAGCAGAAGCAGCACCACCACCAACAACAGCAGCAACAACAGCAGCAGCAGCAACAGCAGCAGCAGCAGCAGCAGCAGCCATCGCTGGAGTTCTTTGAGCTGCTGTGGGAGGCCCCAGGCCTCGCAGCAGCAGCAGAGCCCGGGGGGGCCTCGCGCCCCTCGCACTTTATTTACTGTGACCCGCTGCTCCTGCAAGTGGTACCGAGGGGCTGCAGCCGTCGCCGGGCAGCAGCAGCTTCGACAGGCAGCAGCAGCAGCAGCAGCAGCAGCAGGAACTGCAGCAGTAACAGCAAGAGCAACAGCAACAGCAGCAGCAACAGCAACAGGAGCAGCAGCAGGAGCAGCAGTACCAGTTCTGCTGCTGCAGCAGCTGCAGCAGCAGATGCTGCTGCCTGTTGTGCATCTCCTCGAGTAGAAGCGAGGCCTAGCATGAGGTCCCTGCGGAGCTGCCGTTTGCTGCTGCTGCAGCTGCGGCGGCTGCCGCTGCCGCCGCTGCTGCTGCGCTGGGTCGATGACTTTGTCTTTGCCTCTCCGAGTGTATCTGCAGCAACAGAATTCCTGCGGCTGCTGACGCAGCAGCAGGTGTGGGGCCCCAACGTCAACGACAGCAAACTGCGGCTCGAAATAGACTGCAGCTGGGGGCCCCACGCGCAGCAACCGACTGGAATATATACTGCAGCAGCAGCAGCAGCAGCTGCAGCAGCAGCAGCAGCAACAACAACACCAGGAGAGCCAGGAGGTGGAGCATCACCACCACCACCACCACCACCACCATCACAACAACAACAACAACCACCACCACTATCACCACCACCATCACCACAACCACCATCACCAGCAGCAGCAGCAGCACCACCACCACCATCACCATCACCAGCAGCAGCAGCAGCAGCAGCAGGAGCAGCAGCAGCTGGCTCAGTATCTCGCACGCGTCTACACTGGGCTGGCATGGAGCTGGTGGTTCCTTCATGTGGCTCTCGCTTGGAGTGCCGGGGCCTTCACTGGCGAAAAACGCCGCAGCTCACTCTCCGCGATCTCGCTGCGTTGAGGAGACGAACTGCGTCAGGATTCATCAGCGTCAGCTCACTATACACTCCAGAATATTCTATACACAAATAGCATATTTTGTATTATGGAGTTTATGCATATATATATATATATATATATACATGTGTGTGTGTGTGTGTGTGCGTCTCTGTGTGTGTGTGTGTGT